AATTAAGCTGCCCAGAATTGGGCAACTCCCCGATATCAACCTCTTACAATCTCCCACCACCGTTTCTCCGATAACCTAATCTCATTCCTCTCTTCGTGAAAATTCCGCCGTTTCGTATTTACATTTAACCTTAACGCCTATCGTTGTGTCCGTAAGTGATGATGGGGTTCCAATATTGGCCCAGCTAAAAAAGTTTATCTGTAAGATAAAAAAAAGATGTATATGTATATAGATAATTTTGGATAATTAACTCTGAAATCTATAGTTTAAAAAAATCAAACTTTTGTCTTATGGATGATCTCAGTACTTTAATACCTTGAGATAATCTTCAAGTCTTATAATACAATTATTGCAAATATTTTTATAAATTTATTGACTTCCACCTTTCAATGTGTTATATATTTATATAAATATCTACTTACTTATTGTTTGAAGAAGATATAATTTAATAGTTGAAAAACAAACAACAAGTTTTATTGTTAAAAAGACGAAATTCTAACTCAAGTAACTACTTTAATAAAAAAAAAACTATACATAAAAAGAAATTAACTATATATAATAATGTCATTTGTATTTGAATATTGTCAAAAACAGAGCTATATATATATATATATATATATATATATATATATATATATATATATATATATATATATATATATATAAAAGTTTTCTACAAAAAAATAAATAGCAAGAGAAATTTAATTCATTATATTAAAATATCTAGTTTGTAATAGGAAGACTGGTGATATGAAAAGGACTACAGTTCTTGCATACTAAATAGAAAATGTTTTATCTTCTAAATATTGTCATTAATCAGTAATACAGAACCATAATTTTAGATGAAACCTGTTTTCCAATTTTTCTAAATAATTTATCTGAATTCAGAATTTGGTAATATTTTTACAAATAATATTTTAACGCTTTTAAATAATTATTCTGTGACAGTAAATGTATACAATTTATTTTTTAATAAATAGCAGCAATCATGGAATACATTTTACTGTCATTTATCTATGTATATATGGAATATATGTCATGGGAAAATATAGCAAACGTAAAAAAAAATTAAACCTGAGGTTTCAATTATTTATTTTCCATTATCTTATTTTTAATATTTCACAAACTGCGGTTGTTTTAAAATAAGATTTACCACACGATTATAGAATTTTTCATTAAAAAATTACAATTTGGTTGATTTTCCTGTTACTTTAACATATGACCCCTGGTTTTTTAAACAAAAATGTAACAAAGTGAACTTTATGAATGACGAATTCAGAAATAATACTTTATACGTCTCGTGTATGTTGATATCAAAGTCTTGACAGATGGAACAAACTGATAGTAGTCAGATTTTCAGCGATCTTCTGACTGGACTATTTCTCTACAGATAGCAGCATACGCACGTTCCTCCTGCAGTACAAGTATCAAAGAATCTTGTAAAACTAAAAACTGATTATATTTTATTTATTTTTACAGTTGAAGTCGTGTAACTTCAAAATGATCGATATGCTTTTCTTTTGAATTCTCACTTTTGCGTAAACAAACTTTACAACCTAAAGCAACATAAATACCTCATAATTGCAATGCAAAATAGATAGTGTTAACTGCTGCTACACTAAAGGGCCTTCCCATAAAGGAAAAATGTAAGATTTTAAATAAAAATATCAAACTCCTGAGTTTAAAAAGAAACCCAAATTGCTGGTAGAAGCTTTTTAGTGTGAACAATTTTATTAGGTGTTTTCTCATTGCAAAAAAATCAAATTTAATATAGAAGTATCATAATACGTTAATAAATCAACTTTACTTTCTGACAAAAATATATAGAAAACAATATGGTTCATCTACAATCAATGTGACTATTAACTGATCAACAGAAGTAGCTTGTGTGAACAATGTGTATTTGCGCAGATCTAAGAGCTAAGAGAGTGTTAAGGAGACTGAAAAGGAAGAGGATGAGAGATCTACTCAAATCAGACTAATGCCATGGAAGAGATACCGCTGGCTATTGTTCTTCCCCATTTCTGACATGCCGTTATTAGGATGAGAATTACTACAAGCAATCTACTGATATTCAATAAATATTTTTACTGATGTGTATACATAAAGTTTAAAATAAAATAAATATTATTAGTATAGTTTTATATATATATATATATATATATATATATATATATATATATATATATATATATATATATATATATATTCAGGATATTTTCACATGTATTAATATAAAAATAAGTCTAGTAAATGTTAAAAAATTAATATAATAACATGAAAAGTCTTGTTGAAAAACTACACATTTGTAGCACTTTAACACTATTTAGATTATGAGATCACAGTGTCATCTTCTTTTCAGACGCCTCGAAGTGTTATCAGGACTCGATGAAGAAGCAAGGTTAGAAATGAGACAGTTCGGATGGTTCTGAAGTTTATTATGGAAGGATAGGTATCTGTATTGGACCAAATCAGAAAAAATAGGAGCATTAAGGTCGTTATGAATGATTTTATTAGTGACAAGGTAAGGATCAATCTGAATTTTACTTAGGATTTTTTTTGTAAGAATAAATAGGCAAGACTACGGCAGCAGCCACAGAGCTCAATTCCGTAAGTCCAAATTTCTCTTATATATACCATGTATAAGCGCAGAGGTAGTCAGAAACGTCGAACTATTTCTTTTCTTTTCAGTCTAGTATGAGAATTTCAAGTTCGACGTTTGTCGTAGTATTGTTAAAGGATACCATAGGGCAGGACGAATAGGTTTAAGACGAACGGTTAAAGCTGATTTGATTGGATTTATTGTAATCCTTTAGTTTTGACACTGTTCTTCAAAGTTTTTGATGTGTGATTGAAGAGTTTGATATGCAATTGATGGGTCGTTATTAACTGATAGGGCACATGTTTCATCGGCATACCTACATCAAAACAAATCTACAACGGCAGACAAAACATCCACATACGCCAAGATACAACGATCAGCGATTTATATATCGTTCATGGCTGATTAACTCTTTTCTAATTAGTTCATTACTTCGCCAAAAACATATCGGGTATTCAACCGACGCACGAGTTTCACTAAGCACTAGCTAGGCGGACATCAAAAAATGTATTCTATGATTTCATTATTACGGTAATGACGAATAATATTTTGTTGGTGTATCGAGTAATTTTTGTTTTAAAAATATAATCTAGAAACTTGGAGAGTATTTTTATTTTAATGAAATCAGTACGTTATAAAATTTAACTGGTTTGCCATCTCCCCCAAGAGTGACTGACTTTCCTCATAAATATCTATTGCTCTCCTCTTCTTATAAATGTTACAAATTGAATTAAAACGATAAATAGTTGTAGTTTAGTTGTTTTACATGCTCTTTAGTTTGAAAATTATCCCCGATTGAAACCTTGCAATTAATGCGTGTCTCTCAAAAATTCTTAATTCTATAAAAATCTGCTGTCATCAAAATTGATACGGTCCAATTTGCACTATGCAACTCCCTTTCTGGGCACCTATGCCATTTAATACAACTCTTTCTATCATTGAAATTATTATTTTATTATCTGATTATTCTTGCAATTTCGGATTCAGTAACTGCGGTTTATCCAATCAGTACAATCACCCTTTGGCAATTCATAGTTTCGTATGAAATGTCAGTTTTCACAAGGTTATTTAGTAAAACATGACTTTATGAAATCAAACAATTATTATTCACAATGTTCATCCTCATTTTCTATAAATTTTCTCCAACGGGTTATAAACTTCTCAATTTCAGAACTAAAAAATCATGGTTTTGTGAAGTAATGAATTCATAAAATGCGGTTTTAGAGAATTATTTAAAAAAAAAAAAAATACATTTAGAGAAGTTGTCCTAATTTTGAAACAGATGGGAACCTGTCGGAGATAAGTCTGGCGAATAAGGTGGGTGTAGAAGGACTTCATAACCCAGCTCGTTTAGTTTCTTACATATGTCGTGAAACATAAGGCGTTGTTGAGTAAGAGTATAGGTCACTTCCGATTAACCACTGTAGGTTGTTTTTTGACATTTTTTAAAATGTATTATGTCATATCAATGAATTACAATGTGATTGTGACGGTTTCATCTCTGATCAAAGAGGAGAAATGAATTATTCCTACCACTGACCACCACACAGTAATCAATAATTTTTTTGGATACAATTTTTTTTTTTTTAACCACCGACGAATGGTCCCTTTCCCGAACGCCGTAGTATTGTTTCTTTCAGCTTGAGCTGAAAGGGGTCAAGTTTAAACTCATAAAAATACTTCAAGTTTAAACTCATCCGTTACCACTGCCATTGATTTCGGAATTAGCTCATTTGTTTATAATATAATTGGCGTTCTGGTAACTTTTTCCAAATGGTATATTTCCTTAAATTCGATATTCTGTTTCTGGTATTTTTCCAGCTTCTCATCCACGCTTCAGCTTTTATTATTTTCACGAATGATCACGATAGCTGTATTGTTTCCATTCTAAAATTCGTTAGAAATCGAATTTGTTATGACGTAGCGTGATATGTAATAATGGATTCGTTCTTATCCCATTATTATATTATTATTTTTAGTTCTATGTAGTGGTGAATATAAAATTTATTTACTGTTAATACTAATAATTCTCATCACATGACTCACTATCACTTTAAAAAAACTACTATTTGATCGGGGATATTTTCCATTAATAAACAAATCTAAAAGCTTTAGTCGTTATTAAAATGAATTGATTGTAGTAACATTATTAGGCTTATTGTTTACATGCATCCTAAATTCACAGTGGATCTTGTTGATTATAAAGTTAGGATTTACTATATGTATCCCCTTATAAAATAAATGTCAACTCTCATAAGCCGGATTCGAACAGACGAAGTTTTCCAAAAGGGATTAGATGGATCATGCTCGATCACCAATATATATAATAATTAATTAATCTGGAATCAATTGGTTATTATAAAATAAAACAGTAAATATCAATGGTTAATCAACTCACCATTTTCCCTTGTCCAAGAATGCATTGCTTTCGGCCATGATTCGACGTAGCAATGCAATAATACATCTGAACCAATAGGTGCCGCGACTAACTGATTGGACACTACCACCTTAGGATGAACTGAAAACAGAAAAATATTGTGATTAAATGTTACTTAATCATAAAAATTATTGAATAATAAAAAAAAAAATGTGATATATTTATCAGACAGCATAAAGATTCACTTGAAGGTATCACATATACATGTGGAATTCAAACATAATATAATCAATATATGTGTAATATAATCAAACAATATATGTGGAATTCAAAAAAATATAATATGTGTCACCATTCCCCTTTTCAAAAGATTTCTTCCTTTCCTAAGTTTTCAACAACTTTTATTTTAGATAAAAGACCTAATCTTTCCAACATAATAACTAATTCGAAAATAATTAGTAAAATAAAAACGTTTTAAAAGTATCGTTATGATACGTAAATAAATTTTATAATTTCTAAGGTTTCCAACCGATGATATGCCCTTTCAAAAAAAAAGGGGCATTTTTTATTAGCCTATTATATTTTTTTGGTTCAAATTTCTTTTAAGGGTATGATGATACTTTAAAGTTTTTTTTATTGTTACGAAATATTGTGCTTTTTATGTTTATCTACGACTTCTAAATATATCACAAAAATTGTATTTTGAGTTAAGATATAGTAGAGCTAAGATCTTTTACCTTATTTTACGAAAATGTGTTCATTTTTAATAAAAAAACATGAGTGTTTTAACGATAAGTCGTTCGTATTTTTAGCAAAAAAAAAGTTATGAATATTTAAATTTAAAAAAAACAAACATTGGGAGTGTATGTATTGAAAAAAAATATTGTTTCGAGAAGAAACAGATTAATCAAAAATAAAATTAAGGTTAAACCAACGTTTTAATAATTATCTATTATTATCTTTGCTCTTACAATTGTTTGAAATATATGTAATTTTACTAAAAATTTGGTTTATATATATTAAAACTTTCTGTGGGTTGCTTAGTTAATGTTCAACAGGTTTCCAAAGAAATGTATATTTTAAATTGGTATATTTCCTGCATTTATCGGCCTATTGTTTACTATAAGGGTTTCCAATTTGTAAATTTTAATCAGTATAATTTTTAGTAATAATAATTAATATTATTTGCAAAATATTATTTTGTTACTATAATTTTTAAACTCTTTAGACCAGTTTTCAACGATTCTTGTTTGTATATATGAACCGGTTATCAAATATTAGTACATTTGTCTGTTTTTGGATAAACTCACAGTTTATTTGAACGATGTATCTCTTGCTGACTGAAGGTGGTATTCCATTGGATGCTATACACAGGTAGGATCCCATGTCACTTCTGTGCACATTAGTCAATTCCAGTACCTCTCCCGTGAATACATGAACCACTGTGGAATACAAAGTAATCAATTAGTAAAGCGAATATATTGTTTATATTCCTAATAAATGTAGGAATTGAAGGATCGAGTGAATAAATGTGATCAGTTACATTTTTGGAAAGATTGGACGATTAGTTTTTTTTTAAATTTTTCTTTTTTGGGATTCCTTCACAATTTTGTAAGGAGTCAGAGAAATTTTTTCCTCTGAATGTTCAGCAAAACTATATCACATAATACATATTTTTTTCTTATTTTAAACAGTTGGGGGTTGTATTTCTATTATCAAAACTTCCTGATGTTCACAATCATCATATTACACGCCCAATATAATTTTATAACAGAGAGAGAATCACTTTATTATCATAAAATAAAATGGTGCTGCCCAATTACATTGGGTTACTAACAACACAGCATACTTATTAATCACTAAAAATTAAGAGAATACGAAGGTTCAATGCTAATTCCTCCAATTGCTCCAATTTGGGTCCAATGGAGGCACACGAGTAGAATCTGAAGTGGGCCTCCCTCACCAAGAGAGAATCCTGAGAGGACATTTAAGTCCCTGAAAACTATTTCTTTTTCATTTTTTATTCCAGCATTTGATAAGCATTACTTCGAAAGATTTTATCATAGTAAGGAACACACTTGGAATATATTTAATTATTGCCAATGTATAAATGCATTCTAAATAATGGTTGCTAACACATGTCTGGTTACCTGAGGGAGAGTGGCGACCAACTAGGGAGTGCAACCGTTTCTGAGGGGCAATAAAACACCAAAGGACCGACACCGCTCTTACGTGGGCATGTTTGGAGACGATCGGAAGGCTTGTCTAAACAAGGGAGGGAACAGAAACACTTTCGAGAAAGAGGAAACAGCCGTACGGCCTGGAGGCGTGGTCATCTCTTATGATACGAAAATTCAACAAATGAGAAACATTCTTGCCCCACCCTGAATATTTCTATAAAATCTACTGAGAAGGAAGAAAATGGTTCTGATGTGGAGATCCGGCCTAGAGGAAAGGTCTCTCGTTTTCTTCTGGCGTGGGGGCCGAAGCCTTGGCCCTACATAGACCATGGTGATCCTGGCAGAGCTTTGAACCAAGACGAGATGACGAGATGACCACGGATCAGCAGATGCACAGATGGAATCTATCAACCACACCACTTCATATACAATAAATAAGTGTTATTCCCAACAATAAATTTAGGAATGTTAGAATATTTCATGGAAATATAAAAAAAAAAAACAGTCCATCTGAAATCATGCATTCACAGTTAATTATTGAATTCATTGATTCTTGTAACTATTATTTGTAATTCTTGTAAATATAATTTGTATATATTCTTCATTAAAAATTAAAACAAATTAAGTTTGTTAGTAAAAGTTATTTTATTCATGCAACCTATTTATATCATTATAATCACAGGTAACGTGTTTAATTAGAAAGCATGATAAACACAAACCAGCCTTTGAGAAAAAAATCCAATTAATTAATTCTGGACCAATCAATATATTATAGATTCAAATGTATTTTACTAATTGAATAATATTATTTTTTTATTAAATATTTCTGGGTAATTATCATCAGTTATTATCCAGTGGCATCCCGAATAAATTTATCAATCTCCCAAAAAGTAACATTTCACATTCTTTTTCCTTGGAACATTTTGGATTGCACATTTCATGTCGATATAATGGAATAATACTTATAATGGCGTAAACTTAGGCGGATTGGAAATGATTCTACACCTCCATTTGGAATTAAGATTATCTTGGTATCCACAGTAGTCGCCTGTTGGCCACTAAACTTAAGGTGGAATTCAAAAAAATAAAAAACAAATATTTTTGATGATATACCACAATATCATATAAATGCCTAACAAGGATCTTCAGGGCTATCGGAGGGGACCCCAATCATTCTAAGGTGATTAAAAAGTTCAAGGCAATTATTTTTAGGATCGACTGAAAGGAGTCCCAAACATTTACGAAACCATGAAAGAATTCTGGAACTAACGGAGGTGAAAAAGATTAGTCTAGCAGATATTGATGATAAAATATTATAGTTATTAGTATCGGGCACATTGAAACAATGTCTGTAGAAAGATTTCCAAAAATAAGTAAGAAACTGGAAGTAGAAGTATAACGAGAAAGAAAAAAGAGGGACTGCAGGGAAAATGGAAAGACGAGATGGAATAAGAAAGCTTTGCGGGACATGGCATCAAGCAAGAAGCTGTTGAAAAATATTTTAAATGACATTTTTTTATTTTTTTTTATTGAGATTTACAACTGTATTACATGGAAAATAAGTAAATGTGACATTGGTAACATGACATGTACAACATGAAGAGAAACTACCCATTGGTAGAACTCAAATTAAAGTTCTATATTAGAAGGTCCCGAGGCCATCTTCTTTTCAGACGCCTCAGAGGATTATCAGGGATCGAGGAGGAAGCAAGGTTTGAAACGAGAGGATTCGGATGCTTCTGCAGTTTGTTATGGAAGGATAGATATCTGGATTGGGACAAATCGGAAACATATGGAACATTAAGGTCTTTATGGATGTTTTTATTTGTGACAAAGTAAGGAGCGTTGAGGATTTTACGAAGGATTTTGGATTTTAAGGATTGGATACGTGAGGAATTCGATGGTTTAGTGGAGCCCCAAAGCTCAATTCCGTAAGTCCAAATAGGTCTTATTATTGTTATATATATGAGTCTTTTGTAATTGATTGTGAGCTTAGAGCGTTTGTCTAGTAAGTGCTGCAGTAGTCGAAAACGTCGGGCGGTTTCAAGTCGTTTCAGTCTGGTATGGGGGTTCCAAGTGTTCCTAAGTATCGGATTTGTTAGTTTTTACTTTCTGTAAATATTAATGTTAGACAAGAGTGACCTAGTTCAATGAATGAAAAGATAAATAAATGGGAACAAAAGTCTCAGTTAAAAACAAAAAAAAAATCGAGGATTAACTTTTAACGCTTCACCGAACGTATTATCGGATTCTATTTGAAAAGGTGACTTCATGAACCGTTTTTGGAAAAATTTCTTCTTACTCCGTAAGCGCGAGTTGACCGCCCGGACTATAAGATTAGAGAGGCAAAACGGAATTAAGGGATCGGTGAATGGAGTAATTCAGGTGGGATAGATAAGAGAGTACACGTTCTGCCTAAGGCTCTTAGCTGCTAAGCCGATTCCAGAGCTTATGCAGGCTGCACACTGCCTCCAACAAAGGATACTTTTCAATTTGCCAAGGGAAGGAATGTGGCCCCGCTAGTTAATATTCACGGCCCACCGATGGCATCCATTTCTCAAGTAAGCCGCGTTTAGTTAAGGACTCCGCCAGACCACTTAAAGCCAGCGTAATTCAAAAACTTTAATAGGGACTTCCCCTTTACTTAAATGCCTGTTTTATCAGGCCAAGTTTGTTTTATAAATCTCTGCGACTCTCTCTACTATATATATGTATAAATCCCTCTGCGACATTTTTCGTTTACATATGTTTTTATGGGAGCACGATCAATTTATCGATTATATTTTAATTTATTATTTTTACAAAAAAAAAGTTCTGCGCATTATACAATTTTTTCTTTGTTTGTTTATTTAACTAATAAACATGAGCGATTGGGAATAATGACATCAATAGATTTTTGGAGAAACTATCCAATGGCAGCATACCCTACATAATTTGAAATAAGATCATGAGGCCATATTCTTTTCACATGCCTAACAAGATGATTAGGAATTTAGGAAGCAAAGGTGGAGCACTAAGATCTTTAGGATTGGTTTTATTTATAACAAAATATGGGGCATTAAGGATTTGACGAAGGATTTTGGATTGTAAGGATTGGATGCGGTATGAATACGAAGCTCAACTCCGTATGTCCATATAGGTGTCATTATTGTCAAGTAAATGACCCTTTTGTAATTTATTGAAGGTTTAGAGCGTTTGTCTACTAAGTGTTGGAGCAGTCGGAAATGTCGAGCAGATTCTTGTCGTTTCAGTCTTGTATGAGGATTCCTATCCAAATGTTGACATATTTTTTTATTTTTTTTTTAACTCAAATTTGTATTTGTACATTTAAAATATTACAATGAAGCAATATGTACCATACATGATATGGGCAAGCATGAGGGAGATAGCATCCGACGACACATCCTCCACATAATCAGATAAATTTTGTTACCACACTAGGAGGTCTCTCGTCCAATTCCTTTTCAGCCATCAGAAATGTCATTGGCTGCATAATTATATCAATGTTTGTAATTCATGAGCGTGAAACGTAGCAGTCTGGACGCATTAGTCGGGGTGAAGGGTCTCGTCGTTAGAAATATAAGGTGGTGAATTCGTCTTAAAAATTGAAATTCCAATATCTGTATTTTTTTAATGTGATTTTATTTGTACAAATATATAAATTTGTCAAGATTAAGTCAATATGTATTTTAGTAAATAAGTAAAAGCGTAAAGTTTTTGCTCTGAAGAATAATTTAGAACTTCTGTGGAATATCGAATATCATTTTGTTTAGCGGAAAATTAGCGTTTTGTCTTGAAGTGAGAGCCCCTTGTCAACCTTTTGTTGAAATTATTCTCAAGTAGCAATAATTTGTATCTCTATTTGTTCGTGAAAATATTTACTCTACGTACCAGATCAGTTTTGAACAAATAATATATTTTGCAGATAGCTGCAATATGGATACCGTTTGGACCGACCGAAGTAGTAGTGTGAGGATATATATTTGTTTAGGGAGAAATAAAGTTGATATTCGTTTTTAACACCTCCATAACGCCTTAAGTACGGATTTTTCGCACGAAATTTTCGCTTAGGTGAGACCCTTCGAAATTGTGTCGACAAACACAAAAATTGTCATTAATTCATGGAAACTCCACCGATTCACACAAAAATTATCGGAGATTTAGGGATCTACATTCTAAACGAAATGGTATACAAGAGATTTCCATAAACCAATTAAAATTAAAGATGGAGAAGTTTTTCTTAATTTCTAGTTTTAAAAGGAATGAAATTTAAGTTATAATTGGTAATTGGTTAACTGTCGTGGATAATGAAGAGAAGAACAGTTGGCGTGGTCAGTCCAAAAGGAAGGCAAAAATAAATGATAATATTTATTTTTTACATATGCCGACGTTTCGACCTGAAGTTCAGGCCTTCATCAGGGCTAAGAAAATAACCAGATAACAAGGTATGAGAAACATAAGTAAGATGGTAAAAAAGATAATAAAAAATTTTGAAAAATAAAATAAATAAATATAAAGTAAAATGAAATTGTTAGAATAATGACTAAGAACTAAGAAATAAATAATAAAAACTAAGAATTAAATAATAACTAAGAGATAACTAATAAAAACCGTTACAAAGTGTGGAATGATGAAGTAGGCATAATCAAAAAGGGTAACAAAAGTGTTACAATGGGAATCTTAGAATAAAATGTAAAACATAAAAAAGAAATATGAAGTTATATAAGAAATGAAAATAAATAGTAAAATTAAAACATTGAGAATGGAGTAGTTAGATAGAAAATTGAGATATTGTAAAGTCTATCAAGATGTACAGACAATGTATAATATAATGAAGAGTTAAAAACAGAGAAAAGAAATGAAAGGAAGGAGGGAAGAAATTGAGAAAGCTGAAATAAGAAAGAAATAAAAGAAGTACTACATGTCTCCTTAAGTGTCGCAGGGAGAATAAAAGTCGTTACAAGGGAGGGGAAGAGAGAAGAGATGTGTAGGTGGCGTCATCTCTAACGGTTATCCGACGAAGTTTGAACTAAAGCGCTGGAAGCGAAAATTTAAGTTAACGATGTAGCTTCGAAGGACAATAATTAAGCTTTCCAAAGTTGTTCCAAAGTACGTTGAATTTGGGAAAAATCTAAGAAATTATGAATGATTTAGTTATCAGCCGGAAAAATAATACTTTAAAAAATCATGTATCAAATTTTGATTTCTAAAAAAAATTGTATTTAAGATTTTCAAAAAAACACTAAAACCGAACTAACTTGTTTTTCCATAACAAAAATTTACATGGTCTACTTTACTGAGAACCCCTTCTAGTTTTTGTAATTTATGCTACATTATAACTCATTTAATGCAATAGTCAATATTTTTTTATTGTTGTGCACAAAAAAAAAAAAGAAATCGATTGATATATAATATCTAAAAATCCGGGTAAAGCACAGGCATATATAATTAACATTGTTTCAAATTATATAACTTGTTTATCCCCCAAAGCCCATTGCAACGAACGCCTGGACATGAGTCTAATATTTTTTGTTGTAGTATCACCAAAAAAAAAAAAAACATCTGGTGTGTCCAGTCACACGACTTACCTACCTATTTCAGAAAAGTTTTTATATCTTTACATAGAATTGTCCATAAATTGTCCATTGTCCATAAGGAAACAAAAAAAAATTGAATTAATTTTATTTTCCTGAAAATTGATCAGAGTCAAGAGATGAATACGATTTAATTGATAAAGTAAAGCAATGTAAACCGGCTTCAGGTAGATTAGTGTCAAAATTTCAATACCCTCTAATATTGCTGATCCAAATCTTTTCGCTATAGCCTAATTTTGTCAAACAATAATTTCTGTTAAAAGTAGAAAATAGTGAAACTTGTGTGATGGGCAACAGATTTTCTTACTTTCACTTAGTTATCTCTTTTCTCTCCTTCATCCCTTTCTGACACCATGATATGTACCCGTAATCTTACATTGGAAATTGAATAGCTATAACTTCGTTAATAGTTGTCCGAAATGAACGATTTTTATATAGTTTTGTAGGGAATTTCATTGACGCAGGAGGCTCTGAAACGTATAGATCCGTCGAAAACCGCATGTCGGAAATTTAACACGATCGCAATACTTACCTAACCTACTATAGTTAGGAAAGTAAAAAAACTTTAGTTAAAATCGGTGACCCACGACTGTAGACTTTCATTGTTATTGTTAATGTACCGTGTTGTGATTTCCAATGGCTTAGCTTCCCTTATTATTTAATTACTGATATTATTTGTCGAATTAAGTGTTATGGAATTACACTTCAACAATAATTTTATGAAAATGTTAGAGGAATAACTACCTAAGATATATACTACTAAATAATTCATAAAATAAAAATGTATTATAGAAAATCATATGTAATATATTATTCCATTGTATAATTAACTCGAGATACTAGACGTTCCATATTTAGGGAAGGTGGTACGTGCTTCATTCACCAGAAAGCGGACTTCCTAATTCCAAGTTCTACAACTGTATATCGCCCTCAGCAATAACCCAACTGTAAGCTTAAGCATCACTAGAGCGATTCAAAGACGTGGCACGTGGCTCAGATATTCACGTCATTTTTACTATAATATGTCTACCGGTATATAAAGTTCATTTTTTAAAAATTTAATCTTGAAGGCAAAGGGAAATATATTGAACCGCTAAACATTATTTTAAAAAAAAAATTTCACCATTCTTTCACAAATTCATCACCATTTTTACAGAATTTTTTTTAGATTTTGGCCATTCAAAATTTTATTTTAAAAGTTGAAGTAAAATAGTGGATATACAATTCAATTGTGAATAGTGTTACAGAAACAATTAAACATATTTATACCATCAAAAATCAGTGAGCACAGCAAAGGGTGGCAGCAAAATGTTCTAACATCAAACGTATTCAATCCTTTCAATCAAACGTCCTTCCAACAATAGCTGATGCTCCATTCTAACCCAACACCATGATCTTAATTACCCATATGTCTTAGACCTTATCCCTGAAAAACTCTTCACATTTCACCAGAACCTTACCTATCAACAAAATCCCCTTGCACAATCCCTATCCAGCCTATAAGTATACATTGGAGTTTTGGCATCCGCCAGATTCTCGACTCAAGCCATGTATGTGTGATTATAGCGCCTCTGATTAGCCTCTACTTGTCTTTAAAACCAGTAATTCGGTTGAGTGAGAGGCGCTGGGATCTTCTAGAGTCCTGTATTTCATTCCGAGAGTGGGGAGAAAGGCTTCTCTCGGAGATCTTAACTGAATGATTTTTTTTTTTTTTTTTTTTTTTTTTTTTTTTTTTTTTTTTTTTTTTTTTTTTTTAGATATGGTATAGAAGTGTGTTTATATGTGGCTAATTATTTTTATTAGCTTAGTTTTTTTTTGTAAAGTTTAGTTTATATACATTTAAAATTAATGAGTTATGTTGTTTTTCTATATTATTTATTGTTGATAGAGTGTGAATGTGCTCTCTGAACAATATTATGAACGTTTTTATTTGTGACAGATTGTAATATCTCTCAAAAAATATTGTTAAAATTTAAAAAAAATTCAATTCCTGTAAATAATATCATTTAACTGTCTCGGAAATTTGAAATCATCTGGTCCTATATTACTATTTTGATTTCTCACGTGGGAAGCATTGTATTCGTGCGAGAAGTTAAAAAAAACTACATGCCCAGAGTCAAAAATTTCCACTTGCGTTTTACGTTTCAGACATCAAGGATCAAATATTGGTTCGGTGTCTGTCTGTAGTCAAATCGATGTAACGGGCATATCACCTACTACCGTTTATGCGATTTTTATGAAATTTTTAGGAATCGTGCGGGTTGGTTTCTAAATGGTCCCATATCAATTTCGTTACATTCTAACATAAAACACTTCCACTTACGCACGCGCACACGCATTTTTGTAGATATGCCAATGTTTCCAAAATGGCTTGTACGATTTGGCTCAAACTTGGACAAAAAATAGGTATTTGTGAAAAAATAATGTAGGATAAATTTGACTGAATTCTGTCTATTCCTCTTTCTTATATGCTCAAACGTGTTTTCCTTGGTACGTCTATATCTCTGAAACGGCAAGTACGATTTGACTCAAATTTGGAGGGAATTGGTAAATATAAAATGAAATAGGCATAAATTTTATCAAATTCTATCTAATACTCCAAAAAAAAAAAATTCTTCCGCTTTCAGATCAGGAAATGTGTTATTTGATATACTTCTAGTATGAAAACGCCACATTCGATTTGACACAAACTTGGAGAAGTATTTGAAGTGGTATTTATTATCAATCAGGTCTTATCACCATTTATGTCACTTTACAGGGCTTAAATGCCTCCATGTTCATATACGTCTTCCTCTAAAGGACGGTTAATATAATTTATT